AAAAGTACTAAAATAATTTATATACTTAATATGCCCTCATAAAAAGGATATAAGTATATTAGTATATTAAAAGAGCAAATAAATAAAATCATGGTAAACACAATAAATGTATTCCAAGAGAGAAATAAACAACTATTAGAAGAAAATGAAAATTTAAAGCAGCAATTAGCTGATAAAGAAGAAAACCTTAAACTAAAAATCTGACATGTCACTGGTCAGTCTCTTGATGAAAAGGGTGAAGTTAGCATGTATGCTCCTACTGGGACAAGATGATACAAAAAACTAAACAAAAAATGGATGGATGAAGGCAAGTTAAGAATGGCAATAGATCCTAATGAAACTAGAGAATGAGCTAAGAATTGTAAAAGAATTTATTTTGATAACATTACCATTGAGGAAATGTTAGATAGATTTATTGATAGTTCTAATGAGTTAAGTTCAGAATGATTAGACTATGTTGGAAAATGAAGCAGAACCAATAGTAAACTTTATGAACAGAAGAGAGATTATGAAGGAAAGATTGAGGAATTAGAGGCAAAAAAGGAGGAATTGGAAGCAAGAGTAGAAGAATTAGATGATGAAGTATGAATGGAGCGAGAAGAGGCTGAAAAAGCACTAAATAAAGCCATGGAATGGAGAAAATGACAAATGTTTGAAACTGTGTTGAAGCATGATGCTGCAATGGGTAAACTTCAAGACCAAATAGAGTTATTAGAAAATAATTTAGCTGCTAAAAATCAGGAAATAAATTGAAAGGATTATTTAGCAACCAAAGAATTACCATCTTTACCAAAGGAACAAAAAGAAAATAGATTGTGCAAACTCAAAAAATTAGTAAATAAAGCAAAAGAAAAAACTAAAGAGAAGTTCCAGACTTTTATTGTTCAAAAGAACAAGTAAGCCAATATGAGATTAGAATATAGAATTCTGGAAATAGCCCAGGGAGATGAACAAGAGTGTAATTTCTGCTTTCTAGATTTTGATGACCCAACTCTCCTTAATTTTGATACTGCTCCTGCTACTCATCAAATGGTGGCTCGTAATACTCCTGATGGTTATTCTGACATTGTCTTTATCTGTGGTGAATGTAAAAAAGATTATGATAATAATACTCTTCCATGATGTGAGAAATGTGGTAGGTTAAAAAGGAATAGAAACAGATGTTTTTGTAGTCATTTAAAAGCTAAATCAACTAAATCACATTCTGACAAAGAACTACTTTCACAAGCCTTCAGTTTTCGTCTAGAAAATAAAACTAGATAACTAGAAAGAGAGTTATCAATTACCAAAGAAGAATTAAAAATTGAAAGAGAGGAAATAGCCAAGTTTCAGGAAAAATCTGAAGAGTGAAGTAAAAAACAGAAACAAGAGTTATTTGATAAGATAAAGGGTTTAGAAGAAAAGATTAAGCAACTAGAAGAGGAGAACAGGAAATTAAAAGAGCAACAGAATGGTCAATTACCTGCTCAAATTGAAGTTAAAGAGACTAAAAGATGATCTTGATTGAAAATAAGAAAGTAATTGAAGAAATACTTTCCTCTTATAAATTGAAATTTATTGCAACTATCAAAGAAAGTGATATTTATTTTTCTTTTAAAGATTTTTGCTTCTTATTAGGTAATAATGCATTATCATAATGTTTTCTTTTTCCAACATTATTATTTTTCTTTCTTGGTAAATTTCATAAGTAATCCTTTCTTTTCTTAGATAAGATTCAAGTGTCTGAGTATCATTTATTTTGAAAATGTAATGAGCAATTTTTTCACCTTGTTCTTTCTTCAAAATACTTCTAATGGTGCTGTAATTCTTGGGTTCCATAGTAGACCTTATGTAAATGAGTTTCATATTAACTATTTTTGTCTAGACAAATATCATGATCACATTACATGATAATAATCGTGATGTTAAAAAACGATATTGATCCCTGAAATCCTTGGTAATACCAATGTTCACTTTGTCTGGTTTTGTTGCAGCATGCCCCACATGTGAGATTCTATCAGAGCATCTGATCCTCTTCATTGGATTCTTTTTCTTTTTCTGTCAAAAATTTTTTTATCAGAATGTAAATCAGTTTTTCTATTATATTAATAGTGTTGCCAATGCTAATAATCCAGTGATTTTATCATAAAGATTATTTATTTAACTAGAATAGCTTTTTGTTACAGCCATAATAGATCTGATACCACAAAGATAACAGCCAATGATTTTTAAAAAATATATAATGTAACACAAATTCGCACTCGATTCCATACACCGAGTACAACGTTCAGTATGCCCATTTATTAAAGATTTTAATATGGGTTTGATAAGGCAACAACGTTATGCTGTTGGTGTTTTAACATTGTTTAGTGTGGTATTGATATGGGTTGGCTCTTCTTTTTTAGTGAATGTAGGAAAAAGTATTAATTAATCAATTAAAAAATTTTTTTAATTCTTTTTTATGTAGAGTAATAAATATAACGAACTAATCAATCTTTTAGAATATCTTTGACGAACGACAATATAATAAACCGTTTGCCATAACTTATATTAACACATCCTCATTTTCACTCTACATATTATTCTTTATTTTTAAATCTAAAAAACTTGTTAATGAACAAAAGTATGATTTTAATTAAAATCCAATTAATTGATTATGGAATTTGATACATTTATAAAGTGAAATTTAAAGACTTCTTTACACATAATTTGATATTTATTTACAACAACCATTAGAAATGAAGATACATTATACGAAACACTTCCTAGATCATCAACCGATTCTACAAACTCTAATCATGATGATGATATATCAAAAGTAAATTAACATTTATTCTTCATTACTCTCTCTACTTATTTTATTTATTTATTTATTAAATTAAACAATATCTTTTGATTTATTTTAGATAGATCAAGGTAATAAATATATAACAGCATTGAAATTTCAAATGTTGATAATAATAATAACAGTAATAACAATTCAAATTATCTACATATTAATCAATTTTCACAAAATAATCAATATTCTTTTCATATCAATTCAAATATTCATTTACTGTCTAATGTTGAAGAAGAATTGACGATTCGTGAGGTTTTGTTACTATATATTTTTATATTTATATTTATATGATTGGTATCATATTTGAACTCACAAATTATCATTATTTGAATTAGGTTGCAAAATTAGGATTTACATTTTGTATAATATGGTTTGCAGGTAATAAAATTATTTCTTGTCAAGGAAAACATAATAATAATATATTTTTTTAAAAAAGATTAAAAGTATTCAAAAAAATATCCAATAACAGCAAATTGGTGCACTAATGCTTCTCTTGCTTATACAAATGTTGCCAGTAGTACAATTTTATCATCAATGTCATGTCAGTATTATTATTAGTAAATAATCTACCTTTTTTTTAAAAAAAAATATTTCTAAATTTAAAAATTATTATAATTAGGTTTTTTTACCTTGGTAATTGGAGCATTTTTTGGCATTGAAAAATTTTCTTTGATAAAACTTGTAGCAGTCTGTGTTAGGTAATAATGATAATGATATTTAACATCAATAAAAGAAAATAGGTTTTTAACATACACTTTTATAAAATTTAATTAGTGTTATTGGAGTGATTTTAATTTCTACTAGAGATACAGCTGGTTCACCACAAGATCAACCTATAAAACCTTTAATTGGTGACAGTCTTGCTTTAATCGGGGCAATTTTCTATGGGTGTTACACGGTCTTGTTAAAATTACGTATTCAGAATGAATCACGTGTTGATATGCCATTATTTTTTGGATTTGTTGGTTTATTCAATGTGATATTACTTTGGCCAGGATTTTTTCTGCTTGATATTCTGGAAATTGAAAAACTTCAACTCCCTCCAAACGGAACAATTTGGACAATGGTTATAATTAACGCACTGATAGGTACTTTTTTGTCTGATTATCTTTGGCTATTATCCATACTCATGACTTCTCCATTAGTAGTCACATTGGGATTATCACTGGCAATACCTTTAGCTTTAATTGGTGACATATTTTTTAAAGGTATTGTTGCGGATGAAGGTTATTGGTTAGGTGCATTGATGATTTTAGGTGGTTTTCTTGCTGTTAATTTCGTTGCACTGAAAGAAAACCAATCATCATCTTCATCATCATCAACATCATCACCAGTATCACCATCATCATCAACTGTACCACCACCATCAAATCTATAATGCTTTCAAATGATGGATGATAAATGATTTAAATTTTTTAATTTATATATCACATTGATGTACTTGTTTGCCTTAAACAAATTGATCATTCGTGCATACCAAAATAAAAATAAATGGTATTTTTTTAGATTAAAAAAAAGGAAAAGGAAAAACGATTGAAATATGAGGTTTCTTTCTGCTTTTGATACTTTTATAAAGATTAGAGGATCTGCATGATAATATTTTGGGCAATTTTGTTATTAAAAATTAAAAAAGTTATGAGACCAATTAAAAACTATTCTAAACACGTAATTGATTTAAATGAAAGAATTTAAAACTATTCGTTCGGTTGAAAATGCGCTAAAAAGTGGCACAGGAGCCATGCCGTTCACTCAACCAGTAAATGTAAACCGAGTAAATACAGTGTTGGTCGCCCAAATGGCTCAGATGAGGAAAGTCTCCAATCATTGGTGGTGAAAATATGAGAAAATAAGTATTAGTATAGTGTCCATTATGCTATTAGAAAGAACACGTAGCCAAGGATTGTTCTAATAGAAGTATAAACCAAGTTAATGTAATAATAACACTTTGGGAATTCGGTTCGCAGCTGGAGTTTGATTAGTGGTCGATGGAGCAGTTGAAGCTTGTCGTCTTGACATAATTGATACACCACGATACAAGTATTGATAAATTTCAGGGAAACCTACTATTATACCCCGACTGGGTTTAAAACGGATTGTGTAATGAGTCATTTTTGTTTCTCTCAAATTATTTTAAGCATAACACTGGGTCATGTACCGGGAGGGTGGGCCCACCAAGGCTTATATGTCACTCAGGGATAACCAACTATAGTTGCCTTTCTAAACTTTCTAACCTATTTTTGAGACAAACCTGAAACTCCTAAACCATTTTCGAAACCATTTTCGAAATTTCTAACTGATTTTTATAACTTGAAATCGTGGATATTGTTTTTTGTTGTTGTCAAATTCACAATTCAATAAATTTTTAAAGCAAGTCTTTAATAAAACCGAAAATAAACTGACCTTATATATTTATATGTAGGGTTCAGCCACTCGCAAATAAAAATTCATTTAGGTATGATAAACAAAATCGTTAAAATTTTTTCTTTACGTTTTATTTCAATGATGATAATAGATAATTATACCAAACTAAAATGTTTTATTTTTGGAAATAATTTAGGAGTTTCGAAAACAGTTTAAAATAATTTTAATTAATTAAAACAGACATTTGCAAATTTATTTTGAGCTCACATATTGATTTCGAAGGTCAAAATCTACTTTTTAAAAAACTATTTCCTGCAATAAAAAAATTTTTTTTTTTAAACCGCTTCTTTAATAATTCGGTAAGTGACGTAGTTCGCTAGTATACATTCCGGAAATTTAATATTTCTTTCAAGAAGCAAGTTGATTTGAAACACTCGCTCGCCCAGAAGGAAGGGTAAATCGCTAATGGAGTGTTTAGAATAGTGGAATACCTAAAAGAGCGAGGACTTTGTGACCTACCTAAAAGTGACTAAAGCTGCTGGCTTCAGTATATGTTATGAATAAAATTCATGAGGTATATCTTATAATCTATAAAATGAATCAGGCCTGTGTTTTGTTTTGTGTTCAATAATAATTTAAAACCCGAAACTAAACTGAAACTGAACCGAAAATTTCAGTCTAAACAACCGTTCGGAGCTTTATGAATACATTATATTTTCATCAGGAACTGGTGTTATTGCCTTATCTAAATATCTATCAATTTCATCTAAATGTTTACTAATGTTTGAGTTATTATGCTTTCATATTCTAAGCATTGCATTAAAAAGTAATCTTGCTATAATGAGTTAGATTCATCATTAAGATTTTGAGCATTTTGGACTTCTGATGGGGCTTCATTTAAAGAGATACTTTCCAAGCAATGCTCCTTTTTTTACTTTCTCCCCATAAATTGTTTGTTTTTAGTATGAGTTTGAGAACCAACAGTGTCTAAAGGTGATTGATTTGATGAAGATGTTTCTAGGCTTAGAGTAGGACTACAAATATAACAAATATGATTGTTGTGCTCTTTTAATTCTGGATCAATATCATAATTTTTTGATAAGTGAAATAAGTGAGTTGATCTGATAAATAAAAGGGAAACCAGATTTATCTCTGGTTCAGGATTTATTCAGCTAATTAATTGATTTACTGCAAAAATAATCCAGAAACCTGTCCTATTAAACTTCAAAGAAAGGTTCATCAAAGTCTTCTATGCCATTCATTGGTGCAATACAAATGTATCCAGAATCACATTGTCACATTTTCTTGTTTAATAATTCAAACCAAAAAGTTAATAGGAGGACAAATTATCAACAACATTTGAGTTAACATTTACAAATTGAAGCTGACTACCATCTGACATTTCAATGAATATAAATTTATTATTTTTAATTAATTATGACAAAAACATTTTGTCAGGTATCATCTAATCATGACATCATCAGTGATGTATTTTTGACATTTAACATTAGTAATTCTATTTTATTTTATTTTATTGGACAAAAAGTCATGTTATTTGTAATATTTTAAGAAGTACAAGTATGCTAAAAAAAATTTGATCTTTCAATAATAACATTTTGGTAATAAAAATAACATTTTCATTAATCTGGCATTATTGATTGATTCATAACCCTTTCTAATGATTAATGGTTTGGCCAACATTTAATTATTAATTAGGAACCCCTTTTATTGGTTTAACTATATTGCTTGTAGGAACACTTCAAGTAATGTGATTTTAGTTTAGTTTGAACATTATTGGCTCTCCAATAGAGTTTCTATTCTTTTCCATTCATTTGAATTATTATTGTTTGTATATTATTTGAATTGTTATCATTCGTTTATTTGAATTATCATCATTATTTTATTTGTTTATTTATCTTATTTGAATTATTTGTTTCTTTGTTTTATTTTGAATTATCAAATTATTTGTTATTCATTTTATTGAATAAACTTTCAATGTAATTCAAATACTCAAATTCATAACAAGTAAAACAAATAATTTGAATAAACTTTATTCGAATAGAACCTTAATCAAGCATATAATTGTATATAGTGGTGGCTCCAATAACTCATATTGCATGTTTGCAATGTTATAGACTGTAAATAATTACAGCATTATGGTTTTATAGTCTCTATTTAGGATGTCATGCCGGATTTATTTATATAATGCTAATTCTGGTACACATGTCATAAAATTTAAAATTTTTTAGAATAATATTTTGTGTGATACATATTTGTGGCTTTTAGAAAAAAATTTTTTTGACAAATTATACACCACAAATAATTTTTAAAGATGAAAAACACTTTAGACGAAAATAAACATCATGACAATACTTCTACTGACAAAAATTATGGTGACAAATATTCATATGAAAGAATGTATTATTATGGGAAGTGTCCAACATGCAATAGATATAATACTTATAAGGCATGGTGTCAATCATGTGATCCAAAGCTATTAACTGAAGGATGGACTAGTGGCAATGAAACATTAGATGAGTTGATTAAAAATACACAACTTAAAGCAACTGATTATGATAATAAATATTATCTTCAATGGATTCCTTATGATGATTTAACAAATATTGAAAAGATAGATGAAGGTGGCTTTGCAACTATATCCAAAGCTACTTGGTTAAATGGTTATAAAATTGCAAATTATAATAATGAAAGAACTAGCAAGAATAGGACTGTGGTATTAAAAAAACTACATAATTCACAGAATATTTCTGATGAATTTCTCAATGAGGTAAATTATTTTATTTTTCTATTTATTTCAGATTTTTAAATATTATTCTGGAATTCAATATATATATTTTTTTCATATAGTTCAGAAATTATGTTACATTTTATGGTGAAGGTTTTATAAATAAAAGTTGTGGATTAACACAAGATCCAGCTACAAAAGAATATATCTTTGTAATGAAATACATAGAAGATGGAAGTCTTCAAGATTATGAAGATCAATATTCAAAAGGAAGAAGAGAAAAATATGGGAAGTGTCCAACCTGCAATAGATATAATACCAATGAGACATGGTGTCAATCATGTGATCCAAAGCTATTAACTGAAGGATGGACTAGTGGCAATGAAAAATTAGATGAGTTGATTAAAAGTACTCAACTTAAAGCAACTAAGTATTATTATAGTAATCATCTCCAATGGATTCCTTATAATGATTTAACAAATATTGAAAAGATAAGCAAAGGTGAGTTTGCAACTATATCCAAAGCTACTTGGTTAAATGGTTATAAAAGTGTAAATGGTGATAATGAAAAAACTAGTAAAGATATGTTAGTGGCATTAAAAAAATTACATAATTCACAGAATATTTCTGATGAATTTCTCAATGAGGTAAATTATTTTATTTTTCTATTTATTTTCAGATTTTTAAATATTATTCTGGAATTCAATATATATATTTTTTTATATAGTTCAGAAATTTTCATGATAAAGTTTATATTTATGGATTAACACAAGATCCAATTACAAAAGAATATTCCTCTGTAATGCATTACATGGGAGATGGAAGTCTTCAAAATGATGAATATTCCAAGAAAAGAAAAAAAAAATATGGGGAATGTCTAACTTGCTATAGATATAATACCAATGAGGCATGGTGTCAATCATGTGATCCAAAGCTATTAACTGAAGGATGGACTAGTGGTAATGAAACACTAGATGAGTTGATTAGAAGTACACAACTTAAAGCAACTGCATATGGTAATGATTTTTATCTTCAATGGATTCCCTATAATGATTTAACAAATATTGAAAGGATAGGTGAAGGTGGGTTTGCAACTATATACAGAGCTACTTGGTTAAATGGTGCTAAAGATGTAAATTATAATAATGAAAGGACTAACAAAGATAGGACTGTGGCATTAAAAATACTACATAATTCACAGAATATTTCTGGTGAATTTCTTAATGAGGTAAATAAATTATTTTTATTTTTCTATTTATTTTCAGATTTTTTAAATATTATTGTTGTAATTAAATATTTTATTTGTTGTTTTAGTTCAAAAATTATATGAAATTTCTTCCTGATGAAAATTATATAATTCATATTTATGGATTAACACAAGATCCAATTACAAAAGAATACATATTTGTGATGAATTATATAAAAGATGGAAGTCTTCAAAATTATTTAACTAAAGATTTTAAAAATTTAAAATGGGAAAACAAAATTGGAATTCTTTATTTTATTATTAATGGTTTACAAGTTATTCATGAAAAAGAATTTATTCATCGTGATCTTCATAGTGGTAATATTCTTCAAAAGAATATGTGGGCATATATTGCAGACTTAGGATTATCATGCCCAACTAGTCAAACATCTGCATCAAATAAAAATGATATATGTGGAGTATTACCATATATTTCACCAGAAGTTTTAAAGGAGAAACCATATACAATGGCATCAGATGTATACAGTTTTGGAGTTCTGATGTCTGTAGTATCAACTGGTCAACAACCTTTTAATAATTTGGCACATGATGTAGATCTTGCAGTTAAAATATGTGAAGGTGTAAGACCAGGATTCTCAAACAATACACCAAAATTCTATATTGAACTAGCATTCAAATGTATGGATGCTAATCCAGATAAACGTCCAACTGCTAAAGAAATTTATAATATTATTGATTTTTGGAATTATTCATTTGATGATAAAATAAAAAAAGATCTTGAAGATTATGGATATTCCAAGAAATTTGATAAATTAAAATCAATCAGAAAAGAGATTGAGAAAATGGATGAAATAAAATTTGATCCTTCAACAATTACTGATGCAATTCATCCAAATGCAGTCTATACTAGCAGATTTTTAAATTTTACAAATCTTCCCCAACCTGTGAATTCCAATAAAGTAACAATTATTGGTAATAATAATGGTAATTATTAACATTCAATCATTGATTATTTTCATTTTTATTAATTTTAAAATTAACAATATCCACTCTTGTAATAAATATTTTGTAGATTCTAAACAAATTGATTTAGCTATTTTTGTAGATTCTACACAGATTGAGTTAACTATACCAGATGAATTACCTGAATAAGTTAAATCTTGTTATTATTTATTATTTGTTATTTATTTCTATTATTATTTATTTTTAAATATCTCGAGTAATGATGTTATATAAAGGTAACTTTTACAATTATCTTTGGAATTTTTTCATTTGAAATTTGGATGTTGAATATGCACACTAAAATAATGACTTTTGACAAAAAATAAATGTAATTTTATTTATTTCAAACCAATGATTTCATTTTTTTATAACATCAATAAGTTGCACACTAAAATATTGATTTTTGACAAAAAAATAAATGTAATGTTTAATAATCATAATTGCAGTATTATTTATTTCTTACCTTTTCAAATCAATGTTTTCATTTTTTTATATTATTAACAAGTTGATATAATATTTATTAATATAAAAATATATTAAAAATTTTAAAATTCATAATTTAAATATGATAAAAATTATCAAATAAAATGCTCATATCTAATCATTTTATGCAATAAACTTCCAGAAGAGGTTTCCTATCCTCTAGATTTGGCTGTCCCAAATGATCCTTCCTTCCGAAAATACACAACAAAGACACAAACTACAATAGACTGATTACAGGTTTTGTTGAATTGAACAATGCCAAATTCCCAATTTATGTGGAAACCCTGGTCTGGCCCTATAAAAAATTTGGTATGGAAATGTATGGAAAACTATATGGAAAAATGCGAATTTCAGGTAAAATTCCATATAGTTTTCCATACATTTTCCATACCAAATTTTTTATAAGGTGGAAGCTTTGATTTTCCCTAATGGGAAGGGGCACTATGGGTACATTAAAAAATATCACCTTAAATAGATAGCCAACCACATTGATGCTTGGGAAAAGAAGAAAATTTCAAAATCAGAACCAGATACCAGCCACCAGAATTGAGAACTATGAGAAACATCCAATCTGAACCAACTTGATTGTTAGAAGCTCTTATGACAGCCACAAAATTTTGGATGAATCAAAAGCCACAACCTTGCCTTTGAATTTGAGAACTGTACCCCCCTTTTTCAAAAAGAAATACCTTGATGATGTTCAAAGATAAATGGATCCACTTGCATGAAATGGCAACACCATGCCAAGCAATCACTCATTGCACATCTATCTTCACTACCAAAATATGCAGACAAATGTCTGTAACAAGTTGTGGAGGACCCTGGATGGTAAATTAGAGCAAGTGGGAGCATTTCTTCAAATGTGACAAATTTCAAACCATAGAATGATCCACATGCACAGCTTTACCTACATGGAAAAGGGACATCTCACTTAATGTGATCCATGAAGACATTCCATCATGGAAAAACATTGTGCAATTTGGTCATGAAGTATCAGATTACACCATTGTAACATCATATGGAGGACCATGCTCCAAAGGGTTCCCTCAGCTGCTATCTATTTCTCGCCCAATGATTATTGTCATGTACAATCAGTGCTTGATATATTGAAGTTTTTGCTAGTACAAATTTGGAAACTATCTGTAATAGTATCAATCAAATTCAATTTTACTGAAGATAGTTTCCAAATTTGTGTTAGCCAAAACTTCACTATATCAAATGTCGACTGTAAAGCAATAAGACAGATGGTCATCCCTGATATGGAATGGTCACATAAATTTTCAATATGTTATGTCCACAGGATTTGTAAAATACATCACAAAACTGATAAACATATCATGGTAAGGAGGCTGGGTGCAATTTAATTGATGATATTTTTGCTCCAGTACCTATAGTGCAGGACACCTAGTCCCACAACTTTTTATTGGTCTTGTATATCCTTTAGTATACCAGAAATGGAAATGTAACACCAAAAAAACAAAACATGATTTTGAAGCTAAGACCTTTCTCCACAAAGCTACGATTTCATTTTGTTGATATGTCACATTACCATGGAGAGATCAAGCCTCAAAGTTGCACAAGTTTACTATGTTAAGCCCAAAACTGTCGCGTTACACGCGATTTATATATATATAAAAATGAACAAATTGAAACAAAATAAAAGTTTTTGAATTTTTAGTTGATGATCACATCCATATTAGGTAATCCAATGTTTATTCTTATTGCCGATTTTACTATTTATGGAATGACTAGGAAATATCACATGACAAATCAATTTTTATTGCATTTTTGATTGGAAATTTTTTCCCAAAATCCGTCATCGTGGCGCAGTAAGTTGCGGGATTAGGTGTCCTGCACTGTAGTAACCAGATGTTCCACTACTTCCCTCTGAGTACCATCTAAGATCCGTGAAACTGATGCACTTTCTAAACAAGGAAACAGACATTGAAAGTGACGAGAGGAGTGGTAAGGGCAAGTAATCCTTGCTGTAATGAGTTAGGTTCATCATTAAGATTTTGAGCATCTTGGACTTCTGATAGGGCTTCATTTAAAGAAATACATTCAAGCAATGCTCCCTTTTTCACTTTTTCCTCATAAATTATTTGTTTTTAGTATGAGTTTGAGAACCAACAGTATTTAAAGGTGATGGATTTGATGAAGATGTTTCTATGAATAGAGTAGGACTACAAATATAACAATTATGATTGTTGTGATATTTTAATTCTGGCTCAATACCATCATTTTTTGATAAGTGAAATAAGTGAGTTGATCCGATAAATGAAAAGAAAAACAGATTTATCTCTAGTTCAAGATTTATTTGGCCAATTAATTGATTTTCCTGCAGAAACCTGTCCTATTAAAGCTATGTTAACTTCAAAGAAAGGTTCATCAAAGTCTCCTATGCCATTAATGAATTGATGAAATAAATTATCATCAACACTTGAGTTAACATTTACAAATTGAAGCTGACTACCATTTGACATTTCAATGAATATAAATTTATTATGTTTAATTATGACAAAAAACATTTTGTCAGGTATCATCTAATCATGTCATCATCGATGATGCATTTTTGACATTCAACATTAGTGATTGTCAATCAGTAATTCTATTTTATTTTAACTTTCTTCCACTACATTATGCCTTTCTTCTGCTTCATTAACTATTTATTCATTTTTGTTGATAATTGAATTAGGCATATAACCTATTCTCAAATTAGCAAAGGATTCTTCTAACTCAATTAAACTGGGATGCGTTTCAGTAAAAACATTGTTAAAAAATAAATGTGTGGAAGTCATTTTTTATATATTTAATTATTTATGTTGTAAAAAAATATGGGTCTGATTCATTTCGTCGACACCCATTTAGTCGAAAGTTTGTTTCATCGAAAGTTCACTACGTTGAATGTTCATTTCGTCGAAATTATTTCATCACAAAAAAAAAAAACTTAATTAAACAAATTTTTCCTCACACTTCCCACACACTCCGCTTTCCTCACCTAATTTCTTAACTAACTTTCCACACTCCTCACACCTAACTCGTTCGGTATCTGGCTCGAGGATGAAATAATTTTCGACGAAATGAACATTCGATGAAACGAACTTTCGATCAAACAAACTTTCAACGAAATGATTGTCGACGAAATAATTTTCGACGAAGTAAACGTGACCGCAATAGAGGACTCATCAGGAAATTTTTTCTGACGCAAATTTGCGTAATATTACGGGGCCCGCCGTAAACTTACGTAAATAGTGTAATATTATGCAAAATTACGCAAAAATTACGCAATTATTACATTCAGTGTAAATATTATGTCCTTTTTATGCGTAATATTACGACATTTCATATTAAAACTTACGGATGTAATATTATGGCGGGAAAAGTTTCCTGATGCTCTTAATGACAAACTTGTTTCACCACCAATATTACTATCTGTTGCAGAAGCAGCACAACCATTCCCATATGTAGCATCAATCAGCACAGCATTATATACCAGTTCTTTTAAATCAACATCATCATCTTTTCTACACATTTTTTCAACATATTCAAACTTTCTTCTAATACCCAAGTTTTCCCAGTACCCAGGTCCTGCTGCAATAAACGGAATTGGGTGAAAATTACGATCCTTAATTTATTCCGATGTGCATAATAACGTTTTATAATACCATTTTTATTTAAGGTTCCATTCAAAAGCTGTTCTGTTGTTTCTTCTTTACCAAGAAACTTGAAATTATTTCCATATGTGGCTATAAGCTGGAATAGTAGGAACACAAAACATGGTAAGTAAATAAATTAGGATATCAATATGCAATACTGCATTAATTTACCTTCGGAGGAACTTCATTAGTTGGTCTTCTATATTTTTGAATCCAAGACAAAATAAATTTAGGAGTAATGACATATTTTTGAGAGGCTTGTGCAAGGGAGAGATTATTAAGTACTAAAAGAACATATATAGAGACAAACAAATTAACACCATATCCGGTGTATAAAAGTACTTGCCTTCACCGATTAAAGAATGAAAAAGTATCGAAATTGAATTATTGAAGGAAAAAGTGTAAAATAAATGGAAAGAACGAAAAATAATTTTTTGTATATTTTTTTACGCAATTTGTTCATTACCTTTTTCTTCGTTGAATTCACGCAACCTTTTATTCCATTCTACTACTTCGTTTCCCCACCTCTCCTCTTTTTTTTTCAACCTCTTCTCTTCTTCCTCCAGCCTCGCCTTCTCTTGCTCCTCTGTTTCACTAAGATTGCTACTTCTTGTCTTACTCCTCAACTTCTTCAACCATTGCCCATCATCCTCCCCTTCTTTAAACTTCTTCAATTTCCCCTTCACCTCCTTCAACATCCCAATGTTTAATTTTTCTTTAATTTCTTCTTTGGTTGTCATTTTTAAAATTAATTTTTATTGATTTAGATCGTAATTTTGTTTTTTATAAACAATGATAAATTAGTGGACACATGGCTTGGAATTAATAAATTTTTTTTTACGGACAATGGATTAAACAATAAAAAGAAAATTAATAAAAAGAAAAATACATATAAAAGTCTAACTTTCACTATTACTACTATTATTCTTTTTATTATTAAATGCATATTTAGTAGGCGTTGTTCCAATTGTGTATGGGCCATCTGACAACTTACCAATCACAAATAGATCAATTTTCATCCTCACGTGAACTAGCATCTTTATTCCTCTCACTTTCATTAACACTTTAGAATTATGTTATTAAACCTTAATGAAAAAAAATTTTTTCTTAATCAATATTTTAAATATTGTACTGTAAAATAATTTAAAATATTTAAAGTATTTAAAAGAGTTTTACTTAAAAGAGTTTATTATTTAAAAGATTTATCAAAAGTGTTTCTTGTTATATACAGCTGTCATTCCTTATGTAAACCGGAAATGGTCATTATGTTTCTGTTATTTCTTTTAAAAATATTCGGCTCATGCCATTGCCAAAAACATTTGAAGGATGTTCAACGCAGCATTAAGATCGCGACAAATTGTGTTAGAATATGCTCGCACACCATGAATTTCACGATTGACCCCTTTGGATTGTCATGCCTTTAAGCTGGTAGTGGATACAACAATTGCCGACCTTACTTGTACGTTAATTATAATAATCCGAGGCAGCCGCTGATCAATTTTTTAACAATCCGTAAAGATGATTAAATTTATCACACAGTAAACATATAATTTTTTTAATAAATAATTTTTTTTTTACCGATGATATCTTACCAATACTTTGCATTTCATAAAAACCATTTTCCTTTAAAACCAATAAAAAATTTTTTTCGTTATATACTCTTTACTTTGTCTACCAAGTCTTCCCATCGTATGTGATGGGTCAAAAATACTATTACTATTTAACTGAGCATCGTGTGTGAGCTTTTTATAACAGATAATAAAAAAACTAAATTAAGAATGTGTTAAATATCTATTATTATGTTCATAAGAAACATATATGCTGGAATCAGTCGAGTTTTTGGTAGTTATATTATAGATTCTTCGTTTGACAATTAAATTGTCTCTTGTGTTGTCTTTAACATAAGAATTGTTTTGCACCACACCAGAAAATATCAAAATTTGACTTTGATCTATTGGAAAGTCTTCTTTGGAAAACCCCTCATTGTCATTAACGATAATTGTTTGAGTTAAATGTAGCTAAAATTTTAAAAACATTTAGTTAATGTAAACAAAAAATTTCAAAAACGACCAATTAGAACAATTAAAGGTTTTTCGTTAAAATTGGTGATGTTCTTATCTTTATTGTTATTAAAAAATCCCTTAAACAAACAATTCCACGAAACCGCCTATTGCTGTTCTATATATCGCAGTGCCAGATATACTATTGACAATTGCAGCGACTGCTTTAATGAAGCAATTAGAATTGAATATCGATGACAAAATTTATTTTTTTAAATATTATTTAATATGGTGTGGTATGGATTTTTTTTAAAATGAATGAAACTTTTATAAAAAATCCTTTTTATCAAAAAACAGTATCAAAATTACATACAAAAAAATAAAGAATTCAACCAAAAATATCAATTGACGTTGTACCGGTTTAATTTTGTCGATTTCACACTTTAACAAGTATTCAATTTTGCTACTCAAGCAACTGTACAAACACAAATTACTGTTTGTTGTTGAACAAGAAAGCAATAACGATGTCCCAAGGTAACTACTTGTGAAGTTTGCGGAGCGATATCGAATAGATGCGCACAAATTCTACGCAGTTTTGGGCATTGTCCCTTACCTTTTTGGTTATAAGAATGTTCTGGGAGGATGGTATATGGTTGTTATGGAGGTTTTAGATAGCGATTGCCAAAACTATTTTGAAGGGGCGAAAGTAAAATTAAGAGTTATATGTCAAAACCGAATCAAAAGTCAAAACTAGTTTCGACTTGTGGGCGAAACCTTTTGACTTTCGCACAGTTGCGAAACTCTTTAGTTTTCACTAATAGCGATTATGAACATTTGTCTCTACATGAACCTACAGAAATCAAGAAAAAAAAAATGCTTGGAAAGAGGTTGTTAGAAAGATGCATGGTGCGAGATTTGTGAAGGATAACAACGATGGGTTAAAACATTAAAATTGTCGATTACGATTGAGCTGGTAGGATTGATCACATAATGACAATCTATTCCTCGTTTCTTAATTCCAAGGTATGATGGTTAATTTTACTTTGTAATCATTCTGATGATCTTATGGTAAACAAGCAATTAATTTTTAAAAAAAAAATTTTTATTAATAGGTCATTTGTGGAGACACCCACTCAATAATGATCAACACAAACACACATGACTTACAAAAGGTGTTAGAGATTGTGAAAATTTTGAAGAGAGAAGTTAATGAACAATATAAATTGCTTGAAGTGGATATTGAATATTTTAAGAGGCTTTTGTTATTAGATAAAAATAAATATGCAGCAAAAGAACAATCATGAATTTGTTTTCTATGATAAGTTTGAAGGGCTTTACTCCCAAGAAGTTCCTTATATAAAATTCATATCCAAGTCAATGAGAAGAGATTGGTGTCAATTGGCTAATGATGCATTAAAGTTAATATGATTTATAATATAAAATCGGTGTTTAATGTTGTCCAAAAAAAAAATTAAAAGGATATAATTCCAACAATATATAACAATACTCATAAAAAATAGCAACACAATTGATAATTGCAATCTGTAACCATATAAGTCAATATTATAATGGATGGGTGATTTGCAATGAACAAACTTGTAGATATCGAAAAAGAATGATTCAAGCAGATAAAAGTTGCATCAATAATGGGTGTCATGGAACAATGCAGGGTTGGCAAATTGACTGGTCCATTGAGAACAGATGGATTTTGGACTAGTCCATTGCCATTAATAAAATATTGAATATAGTTAAAGTGGACCCAATGGACCACCAATAGACCATCAATGGTCCACACATTTGCCAACCCTGGAACAATAACAGAGGAGGTATTAAGTCATACATATGCATGTGTATTAGTATGCTTCTGTTTTTTTTTGTTTTGTGAATAAAAAAATTTATTTTTTTTTTTATAATTAGTATAATAAAATGGACTTGTACAAACAATTGGTATTTTATTCACATTTGTTTGATTATGAAAAGTCAAAAAAATCAAATCCAACCTTAAACTTTGGTGATTGTAGAGATTTTCTGCTCCTATTGGTTATTTGATTTTAATTTTTACTAATTCATATAATTTTTTAATTATTAGATGAAACTAGCAAGAAAAAATTTGAAAAATTAAGAAATGTAGTTGATGGATATATAGATCTTAGGGGCTTATTTAGTAAAATCAAAAACAAAATTGATTAGTAAAGATGGATTCTTAATCTTTAATTATTTAATAAATTTGATTTTTAATTAAGATTTTATTTAATTCTTGTTTAATAAAATTTGTTAATACTGTTACCGGAATTAGATTCTGACGGGGATATTTTGGACGAATCTCGTAATTCTCGTAATTCCGGGTCAGTGTTGAAAATTCAATCGAGGTGTATCACGTTACACAGGCCGTGTGCACGTCTATTTTTTTATTATGAAGAATCATTTACAAAATAAAAAATTAAATAAATATTTTTCCTTGATTTTTACTTTCCCAATTTTCATATGCTTTTAAAAAATCGAAATGTTCAATTTCTGGATTATTTAATAAAACCATTAATGATCATCTAATGTATTTAGATGCATTTTATTTCTCAAATTGTTTTTAATTAATTTCATTTGAGAAAATATTCTTTCTACATGAGCATTAGAAAGAGGTATAAGAATTGCTCTTTCAAGAACTATTACTATAGTTAGATACTTAAAAGAAACGTGATACGCCTTGATTGAATTTTCAACACGGCCCTGATGCTTTTTTTTTCATAATTTTTGGGCAAATTTATAATAATTACGTCCAAAATTGATATTAAAATTGAATCTTCTTTTAAAGCTGTGTGTTTATCAGTTAATATACTTTTATAAATTGAAAAGATCTTTCAACATCAACACTGGACACAGGAAGTTTCATTAACAGTTATACTAATCATTTTATTTTTTATTAAATTTTTTAATTTCTGTACTTCAAATTCATAACTCATTGGCAAATATTTATCTCAAAGTTGATTTGAACCTAAAATATAATCTCCTAGGAAATAATAAAAATAAAAATAAAATGATAATTTACATTAAAACATTCAAATTAATTTATTTTAATTTTTTTTTGATATGAAAATTTTCTTACCATTCTTACAATATGAATTAAAAAAAGACTTTAATTTATCTATTTTGTCCAGATTTAGTAAATGCTTCAATAATTGCAATATTAATTTTGTCACGATCATTATTAGTGAAAGAAAGCAAAGAGCTTTGTAAAGGTTGTGGATTATTTTTATGTTTTAATATATATAATCATCATCGATCACTTACATAAAAGTAAATTATACACGTAGATTATGTGATTATGCCAAAAAATGGTCAATTATGCTCAAAAATTAAGAAGTGTGCAGCAATTTATGCGAAAGCATAATCCTGAACACCCTAGTTTGATGTAATTGAATACTAAAATAAAGTTACATGAACGTAAAAACCTTTTCTTTATGAAAATTCACTCACTCAACATCTCTACATCCCTAATTCTAAGAGTAGACCCTTTTTTTTTCGATAATCTTAAAAAAATGTTATAGATGTGTTCTTTGATATTTGTTCATAACGCAAAATAAAAGAGATTGTTTTATAGCACTAAAGTATATAGTGCAAGTCACTAGTCGCTGAACTTTTTGTGCTACACCG